ACCCTGCCCGGGGTGACCCCGCCGGGGGGACCCTGCCCGGGGTGACCGTGCTCCCCGCCCCCGGGGCCCCCGGGACGTCGCGCTCCGAACTCTTGCAGGGATTTTGATACGGTTTTATACTCTTCGCCCACGGGGCCTTTCTCACAGCCCAGCCGGGCCCGGGAGGGGCGGGCGGCGGGGACTTGGGGGGGACCCGGGGGCTGAAATCCTTCGTGGATCCGGGAGATTCCCGGGAGGGTCTCCAGGGGTCACGGACGCTGCCGCCCCTCCGCCGCTGTAGTTCCCGTGGTTCTGCCTCGCCCCTCCCGCGTCCCCCGCCACATCGGGAAATAAAGGCTCTATTTTTCCAGCCCCGGCTCCGGTGAGTCTCCGCCCTGCCCGGGGCCCCCCGGATCCCCCCACGCCCGGTCCTCCTGGACATCCTGGACTACAACTCCCAGCAGCCCTCGCGGACGCGCAATGACGTCACGCCCCGCTAACGTGGGGGCGGTGCGCTCTAGAGGAGGAGGGGTCCCCGCGGGGCGGGGCCAGAATGATTGGCAGTTCCCGCCGCCTGTAGGCGCAGGGAGGGGGCGGAAGGGGTGGGCGGATCCGGAAGCGGAACGGGTAAAGGCGGAAGTGAGGGCCGGGGCCTGTGAGACGCACCGGCGGCGGCGGGAGCGGCGCTGCGGGCGGTGAGCGGGGCCGGGGCCGGGGCCGGGGCCGGCGCCGGGGCCGGGGCCGGGGCCGCTCGTTCTGCCCTGACGCGGCGGGGCCGGCGCAGAGTCTCTCCCCGGCATCTCGCCTGGCCGGGGGCGGCGGCTGGGCCCCGGCGCTCCGGGGGCCCCGCGGTGGGAGCGGAGCGGGGCCTGGCGGCGCCGCTGTGCCAGGCGGGGCCATGCCGTCGGGCTCCGTGAGCCGGGGTCGGACCGGGCGGGCGCCGCCGGGGCGGGGCGGGGGCTCGGGGCGGCCACGATCCCCCCTCCTCTCCCGGTGCCGCCGAACCGGGCCCTGCGCGCCCTGCGAGGCGGGGGAGCGGCGCTGCCACGGGGCACCGGTGTGCGGGGGCGATACCGGGAACGGCACGGCCCAGGGGACGGGCCCCGGCTCGGGGCGAGCTCCCGGCAGCGCTGAAGGATCTCAGGTCAGGGCCCTCCGCGCCGGCTGTGAGCAGGGAAGGCTCGTGGGGGGCAGCGGGAGCGGCACCTGCAGCCCGTACCCTGTGCCTGCCTAGAAGCGGCGTCCCGGCTCCCGTCCCTCACAGCCGGGACTGGGAGTTCAAGGGAATCGGGGAAGGTGGGGTGCCTGCCGGGGCAGGAGTATCGTGGGGGGATCATGTCTTGTTGTAGCTGTTCAGCCTCTATGGTGGAAATAGAGACTCCAGGAACTACTTCTCAGGGTTCCCAGGAACTGCTGGGATAGAGGATGTGACTTGATCTGCTGGAATTGAGCTCCAGTGGAGACTGTCCTGGTCACTGCTGTGCTGAGCACAGCCCTGTGCCCCCCGAGGATCCTGGTGGAAGGGAATGTGTGGTGCTGCAGGGCCCTGAGCAAGGCACACGGGCTGCAAGGACGTTCTGTGGCTTGTCTGGAGAGGAACCCTGGCCAAGGCCATCCCTGGATCATGGAATCACAACAAGAGAGGCTCCAGCACATGAGCTGGGAGCACAGCAGGAGGGCACCTGGGACTGTGAGCAACAGGTTTGTGCTGCTAAATCCCAGGAAAGCTGCTCAAACGCTGTTCCTGGTGATGCTCGAGGTGCTGACAGAGCTCCTGGGGCTGGACAGGAGCTGTGAGTGGGGCTGTGGCCCTGCAGGGAGCCCAGCCCAGCTGCCCTCAGAGCTTTGGGTACTGCCCTCAGAGCTCTGACCTTGGCTGTTCCCAAGCCTGTAAGGAAGCCGGGGAGGAGAATATGCCCGGGGACTATTTTAAGTCTGGTGTGGAACAACTTGCAATCTACTATTCTTAGCTTTTTTTGTGTGGAGGGTCAGCACACTTGAGCTGCCCTGTTTACAGCGTGACATCAGTCCTCCACTGCGCTGGGTCAGGGCTCCTGAGCTGGCTCTGAGCTTGGCTGGGGCCAAAACAACAGGCTCAGTCCATGTTGGCTTGACATGCCACGCTGTCTGTGTGAGCTTCCTTGGAATATCCTGTTAATATCCACTACTGCTTTGACTCTAAAAGTCTATTACATTTCCTTTTGGCTCACCAGGATAATAAGGTGAAAGAAATGTGGCTGAAAAGGGTGAAGAATTCAGGACAGTGTCTGTAGGCAGCTGTTCTTGATGTGTTCTTGGAGTGAGGAGAGCAGGTAAAGCAGGAGTCTGGCTGGACCTGGGAGGTCAAGGACGGCAACACTTGGAGTCATAACTGGGTCTCAGTGCTGAAATTGCCTCAGACTCCTCTTGAGTCACAACAGTGTGCTGGAACTTCAGAGCAAAAGTCTGTTTCTGAAGTCACCTTCCCCTCTAAGATGCTCTGGTTGATTTAGGTGACGTTTGGTTTAAGGTTGTGCCAGGCAGTGTGAGTCCCTCGAGGCTCTGTAAGTAGGTGCTGATGCCCCTTCAGGTGAGAGAACAACCCAGGCAAGCTGAGATGGACTCATGGAGAAGGGTTTGAGTTACTGGAGAGCATGAGGGGAAGGCTGGCTTGGCATGTGGATATGAATATAGTAAAATAGAACATTGGTCTAGTTTTGCATGAACAGAGTTGGGTTCGGGTCCATTTGCTTTCCTGTGAAACCAGTGATGGGTTGGGCAGTGCCTGAAAGGAACTGTGTGTGTGCTTGGCCAAATGTAGTAATCGTGATGAGATGTGGGATTATCTCCATCACAGCAAAGCTCTTCTGCACCTGAAGAGGGATCAGCTCTGGAGTTGCTCTAGGCCCTGCCAGTCACCAGCTCTGGGTCCAAACTCCCTCAGCTGCTGCCTGGTTAGTGGATGGTGGTCATGGCATCTCCCTGAACAGGGAGGGGGAAGGAATGCCAAGTGCTTTCAGACACAGGAAATGAAATGGGAACACTTCTAATGAAGTGGGTGTAGCCCAAAGTATTCCTGTCAGCAGACTTAAAAGAGGGTAGAATGTAGAAATGTTGGAGTCAGCTGTTTTCTTCCCTTGGGGTATGAAGTTTGCAGCCTCTTATGCAAGTCCTGAGAAGTCGTCAGAGTAACACTGAAAACACTCCAGACTCCGGCCAGGAACAGGGAGCCTTCCTGGCTGTGACAGTACTGGGGAGGGATAAAGCTTCATCTGAGTCCCAGAGGGAACACTGTCCTCCCCTGGAGCACAGGAATGAGCTGCCGGAGCAGTTCTACATAAACAGATAAGAAAACACTGGTTTTCATGTTTGCTTTGGTTTGGTAGAGCTCCAAATAAGGAGCTGCTTGAGGCAGGAGATCTTTGTGCCGTCTGGGAAAGATATTGTGAAGGTCACGGATTCTTTGCAGTGCAGGTGGCTGTTTTGTTGCCTTGCACTGCTGATGTTGCCTTCTTGCTCACAGAATGGTGAGTGCTGTCCGAGGCACGTGTTGCTGGGTGTCTGGTCAAAGTGAAGCTGTGTCTGTTGAGGGCATCTGAGCAAGGGGCAGTGTCAGGAACAGGAGTTAAAGAACCTTGGCTGTGAAATTAAAACCTTGATGCTTTTGTTCCATTTGAGTAGGTCCAGGCTGCACCCATGAGTTGCTCCTCCAGCCTTGCTGTGCCCTGTGTTCTCTGGAACTGGACCAGCTTCTTGCAGTGCCAAGGATAACTGAAAGTGGGTGAGGGCTCCGAGAGGGAGCTGCTGTGGGACAGGGAACGTTGAGGCTTTGCTCCCTACAGCAAGAGAGCAGCTAATGTGAGGTGAAGGTGATGCATGGGAGGAAGATGATGCCTCTTCTACAGAAGTCTGTGCCGAAGGGATGGTAACAGCAGGGTGGTGGCCTTGAAATCTCTGAGGATAAAGTTGTTTTGGAAAATCTGCTTTGAAAAACAGCCGGCTGCAGGGGCTGCTCTGCAGGCCACGGCTGTGCAGATGTCAGGAAACAGATGTGTGTATCAACAGCATGAGAAGGAGCTGGTGCTGCAGAAACAACTAGACTTGTTCAGGGCTGTAGTTACCAACAAGGAGTAATTTAACTTTGGAATGGAAATCCCATTTACCTGTAAACTAAGATGAGCGTGTCCATGTCTTCAGGAGTCTAGCATGTGGGACTGCACAGAGAAGTTGTTACACTGTCCTAAGTTAGTCACAACTGTAGAAGCGCTGCTGAAACTGCTGTCTGAGCTGATTTGGGTCTGTGAGTCTGCACTTTGGGGCTGTAGTGCAGCTGCAGTGACCAGTTCCCAGGTAGAGCAGTTACTGAACTCCAGGCTATGGCCTCGCTGATTGGAACACTGAGGGTTTGTTCTTTAGGGAGGGAATTGTGTGTTGTCTGTAGAAAGGTGAAGTATTAAAATTGATCAGACTTTATGGGACTGACATCTGTAGGTCAGGTATGTTTCCCGGTTCATCTCTTCTGTAGCAGCCGAGTCTGTTCCTCCTTCCTTCACAGCCTGGACTCTCCTGCACTCAGGCTCTGGAAATTTGTTTTTATTAATCATATTGATGAGTTGGAATATCAGGCTGACACTCCATGCTGTGCTAACTGGACTAATGGGGTCTATGGGTGGTTCTGGTGGGACTCACTCTGGCTGCTGGTCCTGCTCACAGAAGTTGCTCCTGACTCCACATCCTGCAGCCTGGGAGCAGGGCAGTGCAGCTCAGTTGCCTGTGCAGTGAGAGGTGAAGCAAAACCACTGGGTAACTTCAGGGCTTCCTTTGCCAAGGAATTCATGTAACGCTGTCAGCTATTTAACAAGATAAATACTTCACTGGGGCTTTTGTCTTGAGTATTTTGGTTCTAAGCCAACAAATCCACAGTGAAGCAGCTCCTTGCATAGCTGAGAGCAGCAGCAGTCCTTTGGGTAACTAGATTCTTCAGGATTTGGTTTCTAAATATCCTTAGGTTTCAGTCCTTGCTACTGGGTGAACACAGGGCAAAAATATTAGATTCTTTAACTTCTGACACCTTAAGTGAGCAGCTTCCCTGTGATGGGGTTTCCTGCAGGGGTTAATGTGGGGATCTGACAGTAATTCCCCTGTGGAGATTGGGTTTCCCATCCTTGACTGGTTTGTTTGAAGTGAGCTCTGGTGTTATCCCCCAGCATCCTGACAGCTCTGGAGAACTGCCTTGTGCTTGGACAGGCTGGGAATGCAGCAGTCCTGGCATGTGCTTTCTCATTTAGGGCATTCAGATTCCTGAATTTAATACTCCTATCTGTGTACAGGCCTCTCCAGCAAATCCTGGCAGGCAGGTGAGGTGTGGGAGGAGCACAAACTGCAGAGGGGGTAGACCTGGAGCTCTCATTTGTGGGACAGCATCAGGCATTGAAACTTGTCTTTGATCTCGAAGCAAACAAGAGACTGTTTTAAGAGTTTACAATAAAAAAATCGGTGCTTTTGCTGTGGGATGCAGAGTTCCTGCACATGCTTCAGTGAGCAGGAGGTGGGTAGGGCAGGTGAGCAAACCAGCACAAGCCTTTTTGTGGGTCTTGTGACCTCCCAAGTGCTGGGTTTCTCTAGTTACAAGAAACTAGTAGGAAAAGTAATGCCTGTTAATCTTGATGACATGAGTACCCCACCGTGCCCTTCCTTCTCATGGTCTCAACTGCTTGAATTAGCACTGCAAGCTGGGACTTCAGCTGCTTTCCCTTGTCTGCTCAGTATCACTGTGGTTATTTTGGTCTGCCTGACCCACAGCTCGAGTGTCAGGGTTCCTGTGGGGAGCAGGGAGGGGTGCATGCCCAATTCTCTGCTGGAAGAGGGGGAATGAACAGCCCTCCTCAGCATCAGAAATGGCTTCATACAGCAGGAAGCCCTCCCTGTTTCTCAAGCCAGTGTCCACTGGTGGGTGTGAGCTGACCCAGCCCAGGTCCAGGCTGTGTAATTCAGCTGTTCCCTCTGCAGAGCCAAGTTCTGTCTGACAGGAATCCTCGAAGACATTGGCACAAAGTGCCAAAGTGCCCATCCTGCCATGGAGCATGCTTGCTGTCTGAGGCTTTGGTGGGCACTTCCTTCAGTTATTTGGTTCTTTCTGTGACCAGCTCACCTCATTCTGTTGGAGTTCACGTAGCACAAACAGATGGCAAAATGCATCGAGATCTGTGAAATATAGGTCAGGCTAAGACTTGAGGATGTCAACAGGCTCATTTCCTTGTTTTGCTCTGGGAATCACCCCTATCAGATTTCAGGAGGCCATAACTCAGAGACATGATTCACACAGCATTTAGTGTGCAGAACGTTGGTTGAAGCAGCGGCAGAGCTGATGGGCTGCTTGAGAACAAATACGAGATTAAACAAGGCAAAGCTGTTCCCTTGCAAGCTCTGGTTAGAGGGGAAGCTCTAAAAGGTGCAAGCTTCTTCAGGCTCTAGAGATGCAGAGCTGCTGCTGAGCTGCTCAGACCTCATGGTGACTGAGCTGCTTCTGGCCAGAGCTGCAAATGTTGTTCCCTCACTGCCCAGCAAAGCCAGTTGCTGATTTCTTCCTATCGAGCTTTCTCATCCTGTCAAACAGTGTTTGTCCTTCCTTGGAAGAGGGAGGGGGGTCCTGACAGTGCAATTTTTTTGCTGATCCAAGACTGGACAGGCCACTCAGAGCAACAGCTTCACAGTTCTGGCTCTTGAAACATCTCATGGCACTCAGAAGTTACTCCTTGGGGTTTCTGTCTTACCTGCCGACTCCAGTGACCAGTACCAGGTTAACAGCAGGTGTCTGACTGCCTCCTGGTCAGAGGAGTTTGAGGTGGAATGTCTCTAGGTCAGAGCACGCTCAAGTGCTTTGTGTTGTGAAAGCTGCTGAGGTTCTCCAGCTGCTGGTGCTCATGGACTGTCCCTCCAGAGGAGCTCTGAAATGGCTGGAGGTTCCCTATCAAACTGTGGGAATGTTTAAACTTGAGGCATGGTTAAAGTAGCCTCAAGCAATCACAGCTGGACAGGCATTGCCCTGGAGAGCAGCTGTTTGAAACTCTCCTCTGTGCTGAGCAGGCCTGAGTGTCCTGTTCAGAGGACACTCTGCTCCAGTTCAACCTGCTTTAAACTTCTTATTCATGGAAATCTGATATTTGCTGGCTAAATGCAGGATGTGCCCAGAGTTTCTTCATGGATACTCCCAGAACAAGGAGAAATTGGCTTTTGGGGCATTTTCTTGCAGTTGTCTCTCAGCAAGCAGCCTGGGTTAGGAGAGTAGAGTGGAAAGTGGTGATCCAGAGCGGATGGGATCAGCTGTAGCATTTATCATGCACGGGAAGTGGGAGTCGTGATGGGTACAGGAAGTACGCCTAAATCCGTAACTGTGCACTTGGAAAGCATTCCTGTTCTCTGCAGGCAGCAGAGCTCAGTGCTTAGGGAGGCCCTGGGACTCACTCGTGGGTGCAAACCAGCTTGTCCTGCTGTTCCTGCCATGGCTCTGTGCCTCTGCACCACTCCAGAGGTTGGTGCTGGGGAGTGGGTGGCAGTGCCGATCCCAGGGGATGCTGCCTGTTTGTGCTGGATTTGAACAGTTCTTGTGAAGAACGTGGCCAGTAGCCTGACGACCTGGAATGCTGTGGGATGAGGGCGTTGAGGCAGCGGGATGGGTGTGGGAAGCATTAGGTGCTACCTCTGTGTTTGGATCAGGTTGGGTGGTGATTCCTGGTGTGGGGAGGGGCTGCTGCCAGCCTCTGAGGGGACAGTCCCTGCTGCCAGGTGCCCTCCCTCCCTGTGCAGACCCACCTGCCTGGCTCCAGGGCCATCCTTGGGCCCGCTGGGAGGTGCAGAATGTTGTGGTGCAAGTGCCGTGGGCTGAACAGATGACTCTAGAAACTCCCTTTGTCCAAATGCCTCATGACCTGCAGAACTGCCTCCTGCCACAGTGTGACACTGGGATGGTTCTGTATGGCATTGATAGTCTGAAGTTGCTTCCTTGTGAACTCGGGAGGGGAGAAAGGAACTAAAGGTCAACCTCAGTTACCTCCATGAACTGAGTAATTATTGTTTGAATAGACGAAGCTCTAATAACACCCATTGTGTGCTGGCTGCTCCTTACCCAGCAAGGTGTGTGTAACATCCACGTGTGGTGGAAGTGCTGGAGGGCCCAGTGGTGGGGAGGAGAGCTTGTGTTACCTCTCCAGGGATGCTCAGCAGGCTGAGATCCTGCTGCAGGAGCTGCTGCCTGTCAGGAACTGCCCTGTGGTGCTTGCAGCTGATAACTTTCCATCATGGGAAGGAGCCACCACTGGCTTGTGCTGATGGTGGCTGCAGATCAAACCACCCTCTAGAACTGGTACAGCTGGTCCCTGAGCGTGTCACTAACTCTGACCTCCTCTTCCAGTTGCAACCTGCCTCCAGGTGGATCCCAGTGCAGAACCTGCAGCATCCTTAACTCTCAGCACTCCTGCACTTAAGCCACAATGGCAGGTCGAGGTGGGGCTGCCCGACCGAATGGACCAGCTGCTGGGAACAAAATCTGCCAGTTTAAACTTGTTCTCTTGGGCGAGTCGGCGGTGGGGAAGTCCAGCCTGGTTCTGCGCTTCGTGAAGGGGCAGTTCCACGAGTACCAGGAGAGCACGATCGGAGGTGAGTGCCAGCTCCACATGCCTGTGGCTGGGAGGTGCTGACCTTGCTGGGGCAGGCCGGGGTGTCAGAAGCAAGAGTGACTATTTCAGTCTGGTCTGGGATTTTTGCTATAAATAGAACTAAACAGTTAATGCTTTAACTCTTGGTTTGCAGTTTGTTGGTATGAGGTTCAGCACAGCAGAGAATAATGCTATGGCAACCTTGCACTCTGCCTCTGAGGCTTTGTTTCCAGTGCCTCAATTCCTGCTTCTAATTAGAACCGAGGCCTTCAGCTTGGTTTATAGCCCTTAATTATCTTTTCAGACCATGACCTGGGATTTCGGGGCTCTTTGTAGCATGATACTGTTAACTACTTCCACAGTGCTTTCAGGTCTAGTAGTTCCTTAGCTTGAAATCATTAGCACAGTGTCACCAATCAAAGGCTGGTTGGCACCCGGGTCTGTGAGCAGCAATACTGGGAGGGGTGTCCTGAGGAAAGGCTTGAGTTTTCCCTCTATGACCCATGCAGGGAGTAAGCACAGCTCTAAGTGTGGCTTACGGGTAAGCAGGGCTTAATGCTCCACTGTGGAGGGTTGTGTGGACACTGCTGCTCTGCCTCAGTCTGTATCTGAGGCCTGTGCCTTTGCCCTGGGTGTAATGTGTGGTGTTAGACTTGCTGGAACAAGAAAACAACCAGTTACTAAACTGGGGAGTGTGGTGTAACTGGGCTGAGTTTGGTGCTGTCACTGGTGTTCCCCAGCTCTGCTCATGTGGTGCCACAGCCGGGCTGTGTGATCCCTGTGAGGGGCTGCTGGGAGGGTCTGGCCCTGCGGCTGCTCCGGGGGCTGGCTGCTGTCTGGGCTCTCCGGGCCACCTTCCTGTCACTGTGTGTGGGCCCTTGGGTTCCTGTGAGCAGGAAGTGTCACACAGCAGAGCAGTGGCACTGGCCTCTCCAGGGCTCTGCTCGCTCCCACGCAGCAGCAGAGCTGCTCTGAGCTCCCGGCGCTGGCTCTGGGGCCTGTCCTGCCGGAGCTGAGGCAAAACCCCCCACCTTCTCTTGCAGCTGCCTTCCTAACACAGACAGTGTGTCTGGATGACACAACGGTGAAGTTTGAGATCTGGGACACGGCAGGGCAGGAGCGGTACCACAGCCTGGCCCCCATGTACTACCGGGGGGCCCAGGCAGCCATCGTGGTCTACGACATCACAAACACAGTGAGTGTGGGCAGGGCTGGGGGCCTGGGCTGGGGGGAGACTTCTGGAGCTCTGGGAGTGTTTGAGCCAGAGCCCTGCAGGTTCCTGCCTGCAGGTGCTGAGTTCTTGAAAACTGCTTGTGACCTCTTCCTCAGCTCTGGCCAAGGCTGTGTGAGCTGATAAAGGATCCTGCTGCCAAGTGCTGCAGAGGCAGAAAACTTCTCACAGGAAAGCCTTGTTCTAATCATATCTGCCCTGTGGATTCCTACATGGCTGCCCTTCCTGACTGCTGCCTCCTGTTTGCTTCCAGGACACATTTGTACGAGCCAAGAATTGGGTGAAAGAGTTGCAGAGGCAGGCTAGCCCCAATATTGTAATTGCACTAGCAGGAAACAAGGCAGACCTTGCTACCAAGAGAGCTGTGGACTTCCAGGTGAGTGGGAATCCAGAGCACTTGTTACCTGAGTAGGTCACAAAAGCAGCTTTTTGCTTAAGTGGGGGAGATGATGGCTCTGTGTGAAATGCTTTGAGGGAGAGTGGAGGTGAAGATTTGTGCTCAGGACCCCAGGATGCCCCTGAGCGGGGGCTGTGCCCTGCCCTTCCCACACTTCTGTCACAGCACGTGTGGCTCTGGCTGGTGACAGTTCTGGTGAATGTGGAGGAGGAGGCAGCCCACAGAGCACAAGCTCCTGTCCTTGGTGTCCTTTGCTGCCTTACTCATCTGGGGCTGTCTGCAGGGTGTGGGGTACAAGACACATGAGGAATCATTCCCAGCTTGTTCTATGCTCTTCACAGCTCTTACCTCATCTAAGCCAAGCGTTCAGGAGAGGCTCTTCCCAGCCCTCTTACAGGATTGCTTGTGCCCTTGCAGTGGGTGACATCCTCCCAGCTGAGCAAACACCAGGCACTGTGTCTGTGTGTGGCTCAGTCAGGCTGTGCCCCAGCTTGGCTGTGCAGGGCTGCCAGCAGAGCCTGTCCCTGAGCTGTCCTGGCAGACAGGGACTGGGGTGGCAGTCTCTGGCCCGGGGTGGGACAATGTTGATCTGGCTGTTAGTTTGCTGACAACTGAAGTGTGTGAAGCCTGCTTGGGTTTCCTGGCAGGGTACCTTTAGCACTCTGATGTGGTTGTTTGTAGGATGCACAGACGTATGCAGATGACAACAGCTTGCTGTTCATGGAGACGTCGGCAAAGACAGCGATGAATGTGAATGAAATCTTCATGGCAATAGGTAATGGCCTGTGTGCAGGGCTGGGGTAGCTCTGAGTGCCAGCAGCGCAGCTCAGGGGGGGTCCTGTGTCACCCAGGGGTTGATGCCTCTTACTGGGGAAGATGTCCAGTTTGCCACACTGGTGTCACTCTCTGAGCGTGTGGAGTCTTTGCCTTGCAAAACTGGGTCCCTCTCTCTGGGTCTGGGCTGGTGAGAGAGGAGGGAGCAGAGCTGATGCCAGCCAGAATCAGGAGTGGGCTGGTTTGCCGTGCAGTGCTGCTGGCAGTGTCGTGTCCCAGACTCCTTTGGAGGTGGGGACATGGGATGGAACAGGCAGAGCCCAGCACGGGGGGTGCAGTGGGAGGCGCTTGGCCTCTGTAGAGGACCCTACTAATGTCCTGCTTCCTTCTAGCCAAGAAACTGCCAAAAAATGAACCCCAGAATGCTCCTGGTGGCCCAGGCAGGAATCGGGTGGTGGACCTTCAGGAGAGCAGCCAGCCGAGCAGGAGCCAGTGCTGCAGCAACTGAGCAGCTGCTCCGGCCCGCGAGCCCTCAGAGGACGTGACTGGAACCCACGCTAACGATCGCACTTACCGTAGGGCGGCCGCTGCCGGCGCCGCTGTGATTCTCCATCCCTTTCTGATCATAGGCTGGAGGGAGTTCTTCCACCTGCACCTTTCTGTACAAATACTAATTCAATTCTAAGTCTTAAGTCACTTTTTTAATATATGAACTTCTGCTCTTCCCTCTTCCTGGTGGTGGTGGATGCAGGACCCGGTGTCTGCCCAGCCAGCGCGGCCGTCCCGCGGGTGAGGCCAGCAGCACCCAGGTCCCACAGCACTGTAGTTCACTATGGGAAACAAAGGGATATTGGGACACGTGTTTAAAGTTCCCTGTCTGTAAGAGCTGAGGCTGATCCCGTACGATGTGCCCAGAACAACCACTAAACTGTAGCATTAGAGACAAACTCCGGCTCTTGGGCCACTTATTGACCAAATCAGTGATGAGTATTCGGGGTGGGGCAGAGGGAAGCAAAACTGGTTTCTTCTGTATTTTGTATTGTATGTTTCTCCATGTAACCAATCAGTATCTTGTCAATATAGTACATCCAACGAGCTGCCTGTTGTCTTTCTTTGTGTTGGACTCCAGCATGCCAACTCTTCTTTTCTCTCTGTTCTGTCGTAATGCACTAATCCTGTTGCAATTTTTGCAAAAGATCTTGTATAGAAAATTGTCCTTTTCTTGATGGTTGTGATGCCACTAATGTTGTTAACCCTGCTCTGGTGGGAATACACACAAGGTTTACTGATGTACAGAGGTGGGGTGGGGGAAACCTCGGGTAACCTGTCAGTGGGAACGACGTGTATTGCAAAAGCCTGTAATTCCACAAAGAATGAAGGGAGGTATTAAATGGCTTCTGTTGCCAGACTCTAACTGATGTTGGCTGCTGCCTAGTGCCTAATGCAGTGTCTTATGCATCCTGGTATTTAAGAGGAACTGTCAACTTAGTCTTCACCACAAACTTCAGTTTTGTGTGATTAAAACAAAATTTTTATAAACCTACCATAACAACAATGTTCATGTTTCTTAATGCAGCAGGGACTGGACCTGAGCACAACAGTTCTGCTGGAGGCTGAGGTGTGCTGGGCTGCTCCTGGTATGTCCCACATCTTGGTAGGGAAATGGGGACTTTCCTTCCTGGGGAGGGAGAAATGGAGCTCCTGAGCTGGGGCTGTGCTGCTGCTCCTGCTCACAGTGATGCTGCTGGTGTTCATTCAGCCTCAGTGTGCTCAAGGAAGCTTAAGGCAAATAGTGGGAATTATTCCTTGCGTGATACTTCTGGGGAAACTCTGCAGTGCAAGTTGTGAAGAGGTAGGGGGAGCAGTGTGTGGAGGAGCTCAGCTCCATGGTGGGACAGGCTTGGGAATGCTGCTCCAGAATTAATGAACACAATGCCTCTGTCCCTGGAGTGTTATGGCCTTGGAAGATGCTGCTCTGCTGTTGCTGCTGCATGGACTGTGAGACCCTGACACCACTGACCCGGAGTCAATATGGAAGATGGAGCAGCCCCTTGCAGCTCCACCCCTACCACGTGTGCTGCACCATTCCTGCTGGGAGAGGCTGAGGATGGAGATGTGCTGCACCTGGAACCTGCTTCCCCCCCTCAGCTGTGGGGTTGCTGCTGCTCAGCTGCAGGAGAGCTGTGAATAGAGTTGTGTGAACAGCCCTGGCTCATGTGGGCTTCATCCTCTATCCAAGGTCTCGGTGCCTCTTTCTTATGCTGCATTTCTTTAGAATCCTGGAAGCAGGAAGGGTCTGGAATGACTTGGTGACTGAGGGACTCATGCTGGAGTCTGGCTGCCTGCAGGATGGGGGCTCTGGTGGCCCCCCCAGTGGGGTTCACTCACCTGATGCTGCTTGTGCCTGAGCTGCTCAGCTACTGGAGGAGCTCACAAACTCTGGGGGATCCCTGAGCTCTTGGTGCTTACAGGTTGAGGGGGGACTGGTGCTGCTGGTTTCCCCAGGCAGCCACAGCTGGACCTGCAGGAGAATGGCTTCCCTGATCCCACTTGGAACAATCCTACAGACACTGCAGTGCTGTTGCCATCTGCTGGCTCCTCTTCCTCGCTCCTTCCAGGACTTGGGGTCTAGTCTCTGTGAAGATGCTGGCAGTGCCTTAAGGAGGGTCTCACTGCTGCAGGAGCAGGTGCTCAGGGGCTCAGTACTGGGGCTGGGGACCTGCTGCTGTTCCTGGTGTGTCTCTGGAATGGGCTGTCTGATGTGGGAGCAGCTTTAGCATAAACAGGTGTGCCTGTCCCACATACCTGCTGCCTGCCCGGGCCTGAGCACAGGCGTGTGTGGTGCTTACACACCGTGCCTGGGGTTGGGCTTTTCCCTCCCTGCTGCTGAGAGCTCAGGGGGACTCCAGCAGCCCCTCACCAAGCTGTGGGGGGAAAGTGTGGGTACAACAGCTGTACCCACCCCCAGCTGGGCCATCCAGGGTGGTTCTGTCACCATTCTGTGGCACTGGCCAGGCCTGTGGAGCTGGAGCAGATGCTGACAGCAGTGTAAGGAATAGGGGGGGTGTGGTACAGGTGAGTGGAGCTGCCTCCATGCCTGGGACCTTCCTGCCTACCCCTCTCCCCAAGCAGCACAGAGCTCCTTTCCCTTCCCTCCCTCTGGGTCTGCTGTCCAACCCCGTTTTGTGCTGCCCTGAGGAGCAAGAGAGGTTTTTCTCTCTCTGTGCATCCAGCTCCTCTGGCATCCAGAGGCAAGAGCAGGGTGCAGCCTCCCCATCAATCAACACCCAGAGACAACAAGAAGGTTCTATGCAAAAGTATTTTTATTGGATACAAAAACATTCCAGTATAGTGAAAAAAATGACATCATTGCTGATGGAGCTTGTCTGGGCTAAAACCCAAGACTTGCTCCTGTCTGCTCCGGTCCTGCCGTGGCCATGGGGTCCCATCCAGTTACACCTGGGCTTTGTTGGCAGCTCCGTCCTCAGAGGCTGGTCCAGGCTGTGGGGCTGCAGGGCTGACCTGGATGGGCACGTTCCTCTCTGGAGCAGCCGGCAGGGCCAGCTTGGGGGCCTCGATGCGGAGCTGCCCATCCTTGGACAGGGAGCAGGTCAGCGCCTCGGCATCCACCTCCTCGGGCACGTCCCACTCCCGCTTCAGCACCTCGTACTTGTAGGAGAACGAGCCCTTCTCGTCGACGTTCTGCGTCTCCTTCTGCCCCACCAGCACCACCTTCCTGCCCACCACCTTCACCGACAGCTGCTCGGGAGTGAAGTTCTTCACGTCCTGGCAGATGGAGAAGCCGTCCCCGGAGCTCTGGGCCAGGGTCGTGCTGGTGCTCGGGGCGCGCTCCGCTGCGATGGCTCCGTGGTTGCTCAGAAGCTGCTCGAAGCTGCTCATGAACTCCCGAGCTTTCTCCATCTCCTGCTGCAGCTCAGTGAAGATGGTCTCTGCGTGTGGCCAGAGGGTCCTCACCGTGCCCAGACGGCTGGCCAGGGAGCTGGAGGCGAATGGTGCGAGATGCATCCGGCAAAGCATCGCTGCTGCTGCTGTTGTTGCTGCTGTTGCTGCTGCTTCTTTCCCCTCTCCAGTGGGCTGGAAGCGTTCTGCCCCGCTGCTGCCGGTGGAGCCTTTTATTCCCGTTCGCTGGAGGCGTGGCCTCGTCCCGAAAATTACGTCACCCTCGGGAGAAGAGCTCAGCTCTTTCCAGCCCGTTCCAGCTCATTCTTGTTACTCACCCGTGAGGAGAGGCGCTGCTGACGTCGTGCCCGGCATACCTTCGCCCTGACTCTTGCACCTCTGCTCTCCTGGCTTATAATTAGCAGCATCACCTCAGCCTCTTTGTGGGATGCCTGAGCCACCCCTGCCAAAAATCTGTGCCCTTTCCATTTCCCAGGCAGGGAGCAGGGCTGGGCTTGTTTCCTCCCTGCCTCCTCCCACCCTTACCTGGGGCCCATTTCCCCCATCTGCAGCCAGGAGAGCCCCTCTGCCCCCTTCCCCGTTCACAGGACCCTCAGTGCTCAGGTGAGACCAGGAGCCAGGGTGCACAGTGGGGTGCTGAGGGGTTGTGACAGGACAGGACAGGGGGTCTCAGAAAGTGTGAGGCAGAGGGTGACATGGGACACGTTGTTTTAGGGGTGGGATTGTCCCTGTACTGGCCAAAGGGATGTGCTCCTGGCACTGCAAAGCCTGGCCCCACCAAGCCCCCAGCACGGGGTCCAGGGAAGGGCTCTGGGGGCCCAGGGGCGCTGCTGCATCACGGTGGCTCTGCAGAAACCTGAGCTCCCAGTGGTGACTGAGGCTCCCTATTTGCAGCGTGTGACTCGTCCCCAGAAACAGGCACAGCTATTTTGGCTGGTGGATAATCAGCCTCTCAAAAATAGGCGATGGCTCCAGGAGGGTGCGTGGGGAGAGAGTGTTCTGGAAGGGGCACACCCCTGGGCAGGGGAGCATAAAACCCGCTGCTCCCTGGCCCCAACCCAGCACCGCTCGAGCCGCCGCACCGAGCAGAGCCACAGCACAGCCGGAGCACTTGCCAGGAGCAGAGATGCTTTGCCGCCTGCACTTCATGCCGCCAATGTCCAGCTCGCTCTTCCCATGGCTGGGACCCGTCCGCACCCTCTGGCCTCATCCAGGCACCCTCTTCGCCGAGCTGGAGCGGGAGATGCGGCTGGAGATGGAAAGGGCTCGGGAGTTCATGAGCAGCGTCGAGCAGTACCTGAGCACTGGGAGCAGCACCGGACGGGTCGGCATCGCCCCGAGCACCAGCGCAGCCCTGACCCAGGGCTCCGGGGACGGCTTCTCCGTCTGCCAGGACGTGAAGGACTTTGCGCCCGAGCAGCTGTCGGTGAAGGTGGTGGGCAGGAAGGTGGTGCTGGTGGGGCAGAAGGAGACGCAGAGCACGGATGAGAAGGGCTCGTTCTCCTACAAGTACGAGGTGCTGAAGCGGGAGTGGGACGTGCCCGAGGAGGTGGACGCCGAGGCGCTGACCTGCTCCCTGTCGAAGGACGGGCAGCTCCGCATCGAGGCCCCCAAGCTGGCCCTGCCAGCTGCTCCAGAGAGGAACGTGCCCATCCAGATGGGGCCGGCGGTGGCACAGGTAGCAGCCAGCGCTGACGATGGAGCCGAGCGGGCCAAGGCGTGATGGGGAGCAGCAGGGACCGGGCTGAGCCTGGCAGATGGGGCAGCTACTGGCCACAGAGCAGGACCGTGCTGGGACTGCACGATGGCCCAGGGGGTGGTGTCTGCCCAGAACATGCAGCTTTTTTATATGTAATAAATATTCCTGACTTTTATTTGCGTGATTTCTGTGTTTCTGGTCTTGCCCAGCCCTGTGCTTTGCAATGCTCCTACCTCTACCCACGCAGCGGGATGGCAGGGTGGGAAGTGGGGCTGTGCTGGCACAGGGCATGTCCCTGGCACCTCTCCCCAGCCCTGCCCTGGCACAGGAGGTTGGGCAAGGGGCTTCCAGCCCCTGCGCAGTGCTGAGAATCCCCGGGAGGTCCTGAGCATCCCCCTGGGCAGCCTTCGGACACCTGACCCGCGTCTTCGGGGTGGTGCTGGAACACTCCCGTGCGGTGCCTGCTCGGCCACGTGCCGTGCTGTGCCCGCACCCCCCGGGCCGTCCCCGCTGTTGCTGGCACCTTCCAGGCGCTGCCCGCGGCTCGGCCCGGCGCCACGCCCCGCCCCCGCCAAGCCACGCCCCGCCCCCGCCAAGCCACGCCCCTCCCGGGAATGGGCGTGACCTCCCATAAACGGCCACGGGGGCGGGGCCACCTCATGACATCATTAGGGGCGCGGCCACAACCATAGCGGGTGTTTGGCCACGCCCCGCGTGGCCGCGAGCGAGAGGGGGCGTGACCACATCCATATTTGGAGGAGAGGGGGTCATACAGCATTTTTAGAGGGGGCGTGGCCACACTCCATATTTGGAGGTGTCCGCGGGGTCGTGCACCGCCGGACCGGGATCGGTACCGGTTACCGGAGGGACCGGGGCGCTTCTCTGGGCACCGATGGCTCGGCACCGCCCCGGCACAGGCTGTCGCCGTGGGTCGTCGCGGCCGGACCTTGATCCTCCTTGGCCGGCTAACGCCGTCCGCAAACCCGGGCGGGAGCTCTGCTCCGCTGCCTCCCGGGGCTGCAGGTGATGTGAACCGGCCCCGGGAGGCCCGGCCCGGGAGCCCCGGCCCCACCTCCGCCGCCGCAGCGGACTACGGCTCCCGGCGTGCCCGGCGCGCAGGCGCAGTGAGCGCGGGGCGCACGCCGGGCCCGGCATGGCGGAGCCGGAGGCCGCGCAGCCCGGGCGGCCCCCGCCGGGTCCGGGCACGGGAACGGCGGCAGCGGCGGGGGGAAGCGGCGTAGCGGCGGGAGGAGCGGGGTCCAGCGACCCGGCCCGGCCCGGGCTGAGCCAGCAGCAGCGGGCGAGCCAGCGCAAGGCGCAGGTGCGGGGGTTCCCCCGCGGGAAGAAGCTGGAGAAGCTGGGGGTCTTCTCGGCTTGCAAGGTGGGGGACACCGGGACCGAGGGGGGGCAGGGGGTGCGGGAGGTGGGGTTCAAGGCGGTGCGTGGGTGGGGGATGCAGGAGAGGAGCGCAGGGGGCGCAGGAGGGGGGATGCAAGGACGAGGTGGGCGGTGCAGGGGATGTAGGAATGGGGGGTTCAAGGCTGGGCATGGGTGGAGGATGCAGGAGCAGGGTGCTGACCTGGGTGGGGGACGCAGGCGGGGGTGCAAGGACGTCTGTGGGTATAGGATGCAGGAGGGGGGCTCAGGGGTTCAGGAGGGTGGGTGCAAGGGGTGCAGGAGCTGGTGCTGGGCCGTACATGGGGTGCAGGAGGGAGCGCTGGGCTGTGCATGGGCAGGGGTTGTGGGAGGAGGGCGCTCAGTTGTCTGGGGGAGGTGCAGGGACGTCCCTGGGCAGGCACTGCAGGGTCCTGGGGCTGCACGCAGGGAAGTGTTGGAGTGGTGGGTGATGCCAAGTGAGGGCTGAAAAAAGCTGATGTGGGTCAACAGGGGTAAGTGGGAACCAGGGAAATCATTTGGCCCGAGAAGGCGGCTGCCTCGGCACGTGGCAGCCGCTGTGACGGCCACTCCTGTCCCTCGTCCCAGGCCAACGATGCCTGCAAGTGCAATGGCTGGAAGAACCCCAACCCCCCCACAGCCCCCCGCATGGACCTGCAGCAGCCGGTGACCAACCTGAGCGAGCCCTGCCGGAGCTGCGGCCACACGCTGGGTAACCACCGCGGGACCCCCGTGCGGGGCAGCGGTGCTGACCCCCCCGGTCTCACCACGGCTTTCTCTCCGGCACAGCGGACCACGTGTCCCACCTGGAGAACGTCTCGGAGGAGGAGATCAACCGTCTGCTGGGCATGGTGGTGGATGTGGAGAACCTCTTCATGTCGGTGCACAAGGAAGAGGACACGGACACCAAGCAGGTGTATTTCTACCTGTTCAAGGTGAGTCTGGGGCTGGGCACGTCTCACTGCCCCACCCCTGGGGGGGCTTGTGCAGGGTCCCTGGGCATATCAGGGGAACTGGGGCTGCTGTCCCTCTGCTCATGCTCTGCTGGGGCTGGAGCTGTGGCTGTGAGCTGTCCCACAGCCCAACCAGAGACCTGGGATGCTGACCCTGTCCCGGAGCGACTGCTCTCCTGGCCTGGAATTCCCTGGGAGGGGGGTTTCTAGGGAATGAACAAGCATGCTCCAAGGAGGACCCTGGTGCCTCTCTGGCTGTGGAAATCAGAGCAGCCCCGCGGCAGCGTTTGGCCACCTTCACCACTGCTGGAGCAGCCAGTTCCTGGGCCTGTGGTGACCATGTACAATGGTGTCTTTGTAGCTGCTGCGAAAGTGCATCCTGCAGATGAGCCAGCCTGTGGTCGAAGGGTCCCTGGGGAGCCCTCCCTTTGAGAAGCCAAACATTGAGCAGGTGAGTCTGCTGTCAGGCTCGTGCACTGCCCTGATAGCTTGCCCTGTGTCCTGCTGCTCTTGCATGGTCCCCTCGCTTTTCGGGAGGCAGCACAGAAGGGCCCAGAGCAGCCCCTGGCACCCTTCCACCACCCCATCCCCTCCCCAGGGAGTCCTGAACTTTGTGCAGTACAAGTTCAGCCACTTGCCGCCCAAGGAGCGCCAGACCATGTACGAGCTCTCCAAGATGTTCCTGCTCTGCCTCAACTACTGGAAGTTGGAAACGCCGTCCCAGTTCCGGCAGCGCTCCCAGAACGACGACGTGGCCACCTACAAGGTCAACTACACCAGGTGAGGACAGGGAGGGTGCTGAGCCAGCCACCCTGGGGTCTGACTCCGGGACTCTCCTCAGCTCTCCCAGATTGTTGGTCCCTTAGGAGAGCCGGCATCCGGTGGGGACACCGCTTCCAAATGTCAGCCATGCCCTCCATCCACCTGCTCCCCTCCTGGCAGCCTTGTCCCAGGAGGGATACAGATGCTCTGGAGTCTCCGGTCACTGGAGCCCCTTCTTGTCCCGTAGGTGGCTGTGCTACTGCCACGTGCCACAGAGCTGTGACAGCCTGCCCCGCTACGAGACCACCCACGTCTTCGGGCGCAGCCTCCTTAAGTCCATCTTCACGGTCACCCGCCGGCAGCTGCTGGAGAAGTTCCGTGTGGAGAAGGACAAGCTGGTGCCAGAGAAGCGGACGCTGATCCTCACCCACTTCCCCAAGTAGGTGCCCCGTGTGGGGATGGCTGCTGGAGTACTGAGGGGGCTCCTCCCTTGGGACCCCTGCACACCGATGTGCCACTCCCTGCCAGGTTCCTCTCCATGCTGGAGGAGGAGATCTACGGCGAGAACTCTCCG